AACGACCAGAGCTAGGAGCATCGTAAAATAAGTACTTAATGTAAGCAGGAAGGGACTAGGTTTGTCGGCGACGAAGACATGGAAATCGCGAACGCCGAAGATGAGCCGCCTTGCGGCGCGAGCGAGGAAGGACGAGCGGCCCGTGCAGGACTGTCGACCACGCTGGATGCTCTCCCTCCACTACGTGCTCGAGGTGTACTGCGCGTTATAGATCGGGCAGAGCTGATCCCACTCCGCCGAGGGCGAGACGAACGAGGGCACAGCGGGGACGTCCTCCGCGAACACGACCGCGAACCCGGCCTCGAGGTGGAAGTCGATGTGGCAGTGGAGGAACCACGGGCCCGGGTTGTTCGTGTCGAAGCGGATCGTGACGTTGTCGCCCGTCGTGCCGGTGGAGACGACGTCGCGCTGCGGGGGGTTCACGAAGTTGTACTCGGTCGACCCGGCGGAGCGGACGACGTGGAAGGTGTGGCCGTGGAGATGGAAGGGGTGGGGCTGGCCGGGCGCGGCAGCGACCATGGGGAGCGAGAGCTCGATGGAGGAGTTGCCGGGGAGGGGGATGATGGAGCCGCTGGGGAGGAGGTCGGCGGCAGAGGACGCGCCGCTCATGATCTGGAGAAGGATGGGGACGGTGGGCGACGTGTAGGTATCGCCGTTGATGAAGAACGCGGAGCCGTTGAAGCTAAATTTGAGGTTGATAGCAAGGTCAACGCCGCCAACCTCGGGGGTGCCGGGGGGCGCTAGGTTCTCCAGTGGGACGAGGTCGGCCTCGTTGAGACGAGTGGGGTTCGTCTTCTGCGTAGTGGCGGGCTCGACCGCCTCGGCGTCGTCGTAGCGGAGGATGGCGGAGTTGACGGCGCCGGCGAAGGAGGTCGTGCCGATGTTGGGCTTAGCGCGGATCCAGTAGTTGCCGCTGTCCTGGTCGGCGTTGACGACGACTGAGTAACGCTGGCCGGCGAAGATCTGGATCTCGTCGACGGCGTGTGGCGCGTGGTTGACCGCGTCGACCTCGATGATGGTCATGCCGTGTCCGTCAATCGAGAAAACGTAGTTGGGGTCGCAGGAGAGGGACACGAGACGGAAGCGATACCGCTTGCCCTTGGTCACAGTAATCACTGCGAGCTCCGCAGCGGCGCCATCACTGGTCGTACTCCGACCAAGACCGTTGATGAGGGTGGAATCCGCGGTTCTGTGCAACAGAGATAAATGTAAGGCGCGGTGCAAAAGAAGAAAGCGACAGAGCACGCACGGGAAGCGAGACCCTAGCGCCGCGGCGGTGTGGTACCAGTCAGTGAGTGTGATGACGGTAGACTCGTCATCGACATCGTAGAGGTCGGCGTGGGGATCTTGTGGGTCGTAGACGACAATCGCCCCACGAAGGCCGTCGCAGTACTGGACCGACAAGTGACTGTGGTACCAGAACGTCCCCGCCTGGTCGGTCGAGGAGAAGTCGTACAAGAAGGAGTGGCCGGCCGAAATAGGGCACTGGTTGACGAACGCGGGGCCGTCGGCCCAGTTGGTGCCGCGCTGGAAGAACCCGTGCCAATGCTGAACGAGGAACTGTCAGACCCTACGAGAGCAAGTCACGGGCACGGCCAAGCACTCACAATGGTCGTCGGGGTAAGCATAGTGTCGTTGGTGAGCATGTCAATGACATTCAACTGGAAGTTATCGCCCTGAACGTGAGTCGAGTAGTGAGTAGATTGTTCAGCGACAACACGATCTCATTGAAGGCGCACCTTGTTGCCGACAATGAGCGGGCCAGGCATTTGGTTGTTGACGACGACCGCAGCGCGAGTATGGCCATCGGGGGTGACATCAGCATTGCTGATCGTCAGGTCGGCGACGGGGCCGACTGCGGCAGCGACGAGGTAGCTGAAAGAGAAGAGCGCGATGAGAGGCGCGAAGGTGACGGCAAGAGAAGGCATGTTCAGAGGATTAAGAGCGAGAAGAACACTAGAGCGAACTGGCGTTAAAGGAAAGAGAGCCAGACGGAGTAGGTTTCGTGAGGACCACGAAAAGTGCTGGTGGTGCTTTTATCTGCGGAGCACTGACCCGAAGCGATGTACGCATGGACCCCTGCTGCGACCTCTGGCGACCAGCCGCGCAGCCCTGCCGTACGGGAGACGCGGGTGATGCTGGGCGGAACGGCTTGGCAGATGTCGATCGCGTAGGTTGCGCATCGACGCACGCCCGCGTTGAACAAAGTCGAGGCGCGCACCATCCTCCACCAGTGCTGAGGAGCGGATGCCCCTGGCCGTTCTCACGGACCGAGTCCTGATCTAACGCGGACACGACGGGTGAGCACAACTTCGTACACTGAGTGGGCGGAAGAGACAACGCACTTACGGAGAAATGAGGTCGTCTTTCTGAGATGAGACGTTTTCAGGCAGAAACAAGACGTAAGGGAACGGGAAGCGCGTCGCGCCCGGGTGTCCGCATGCGCTGGCCGCTGACTCAACATAATCTCGTCAGACGGCGTCTAAGTAACCCATCTTTCGTGCTCATGTATGCAGTTCTGAGTCTAGAGTATCTGAGCGCATTGATTTCTTCAAGGAGGCACTCGAGATTCTCAGTGCAGGCAAAAGAGTCGCACGCACTTGCTCTTAGGTCCCTGCGAAGCGTACAGGTATGTATTCCACTGCATGGTGAAACGCGGCGTTCTGATTCCGATGAATGTGCACGTCTCGAGCTGCGTCCTGCGCTGGTCATCTGAACGTGGCTTGGCAGGGTCAGGCATGGTTGTACAGCTCAAGCTATGTCGTACTCTGACACTATAAAGCGCTTCACTTCCCTGTCATCATTCAATGTTGCGGCGGCCTCAGTGTCGGCGTTCCCATGGGCAATGATGAGGCGATCCTCGTGCGCAAGCCGCAGGCCACGCAAGCGAGTGTTGGTAACAAGAAAATGGACTTCGATGAGATATAGAACGGGTTGGACGTCGTGGTTGCTGTTATGAAGATGTACGAACCACGTTTCCAACAGTCTCCCCTAAGAGCCTACTATCGGCACCCGGTGTTCAAGACCAGTGGTCGAAGGTAAAAGCTGCGCTCCTTGCATCTCCAAATCTGGTAATTACCTGTAGACATCTCTATATACGTCGATCTCACCTGTTCCTCTGCGGAGGGAACAGGTGGGCCGCTTCACCTTGGCTGTCCTTGGCGGACGGTCATGTAAACAAGAACGCCGAGGTACATGGGGATCAGGCTTACATTGGACTGCGCACTGTGCTGGATGCTATCCCATAGCTGAGGCCTGAAGCCTGAGGAACGACTAGATAGTTCGCCAAGCCGTCATTGAAGTGCACAACCTGTGAACATGGCGACCCCTTTCCCCTTACATCTGCGCAGCACGCTTCGTGCGTTTATCTATGACGAATGGTTAATCTTCCCACGCGTAAATGCCTCAACGTTGAGCTCGCAAACGGCAATGGCTCTGCATACCAACTTTGCAAGCTGATTCACTCTGACAGGCTAAGAAACTCGCTCAAACAAAGTACTGCTTGTTCCTTGGTGAGTTCGAGTATCAGGAAGAGATTTGGGATGGATTGCTTTCTAGACATGCGTCCCCCATCTCGCGATTGTCGGATGGCCCACTTCGTGATCGGACATAGGCCTACGGCCAAGAGCGACTGGATCTCGAACACTAGACGCCCAAGCTGCCGTTCTGCCAGGCGCGGTGCTCCGAGCAGCTTCAAAGCCACGCCGGCTGTCGTCTCCATGACGCTCCTCGGCGGCCGCTCTTGGGCATTCGTCAGCCACCCGTGCGCTAGACCAGAAACCGGATGCGGTGAGGCCGCGCGGGCCCATTCGTGCTCGCGTTGAGTCTCCGCTGTGGCACCCGGGACGGCCGCGGACTCGTGTGCGGCCATGTACATGGAGGGTATAAGTCCCCGCTCCGTGCAACAGTGATCCCGGGCATCCTTCTCTTCGTCACCTTCTCCTCTCACACCGCTCCATCAGCTTCTCCCCCTCGCCCACAATGCAGTTCAAGTTCTTCGTCGCTCTCGCCTGCCTTGCTTCTGCCGCGGCCGCCGTGGTACGTCACCGGTCTCCCCTTCGATTCGCGTGTTCTGACCTCCCGCGCAGCCCCAGTCCGCCTCCGACGAGTTCGACCCATCCACCGCGACCATTTCGCTTTCGTCTGGGGTCACCACCGAGACCTTCACGGCCTCCCAGGTCTTCCAGAGCCTCATGGAGGGTGAGGCTTTCACGCCTCTTGAACGTTCCGTCGCTCATTCGTGCTCCGTCTTTCTAGTCGAGCCTTTCGTGACCGTTATCGAGACGACGACTGTGTGGACTGCCACTCGCACGGTCACTGTCGCGGTCCCCACCGGCTCCCCTTAGGCTGCCGAGCGCAAGAACGGGCCGGGTGCGCTGTCTCGCTTCATCCCCTGCCTGTTGCGCGCGCTGAATCTTTCGTCTTTCCGCAGGCGGCGCGCATGCTGCTCAATACCTTCCTTATATTATCCCTATTCGTCTAGTTAAAATCGAATGTTTTGTCGATCTTGCGTCTGAATACCTCTTCATTCTCGCGTTCGCGCATCGTGTGTGTGCGGGCTTTCGGGAATCGTCGCCCGCAAATAAGCAACGTTTGTCAATGGCCCGAGCATTACATCCCAGTCCTCATCTACCAAGGGCGCGACCAACAAGGGTCGAATTGAAGAGCTGATCTCAGGAGTACCGTCGTTTTTTGGCCCATCGTAACGCCCTCTCCTCTCCGACGTCGTCTCGGCGCCGCACCCCGCGATAGCTCACCTCCTCACCATTCCAACGTCCGAGAACCTAACACGCATATAATCCGCCGACCCCGCTGCATGCGCTGATCGACGCACCGTGATCCCACCCATCAGTGCTGGCCAGGGCTCGTAGTTTCCGGAGCGGCGAGGGAGCGGAGCTCCACCCAGGCACCCGCAGTGCTCGCTCTCGCGCCGCGAGGACGGCATGCGGCGGCGGCGGCGGCGGTTCCGGTCGCCGCCAAATTGCCTCGCGCGACTATCGGGCGGGTGGGAGCGAGCACAAGAAGGCGCGTACGCGTCGCACGGAGAGCATTACATGTCGTGCTTGGCAAACTTGGGAGTTGCATGGGTGAGTGATCTTCGGCAGACGCGCGCTCCGACAAACGCGCTCGAGAGCCCTTCAATGTGATTCAGCGAACTTTACGTCTGAGTAAGTACATCGGTCTGACGACAGAGAGCGCCTACAGAAAACAAGGGACGTACGCAATGCATTCGACGTTATCTGAGACACCCGACTGCGCCCATAGAGTTTCTGTGCAGCCACGTCGAGGCACCGGTCCTGGGTGGATCGTAAAAGCGCTCCGTGATTGAGCAATATTTGCGCAGCCTGTCATTGTTACGCGGGTGTCGGCGGCATCATCCTCCGACGGGTACACGCAAGATTGGCGGCCGCAATGCGTGGAAGAAAGAGCGGGGCAAGGTCGACACATACCCGAAATGGAATAGCCCGTCGAGCTCGTCACCAGGGGAGTAAGATTTACTTCGTGAGATGACGATGGCGATGCGAGAAGATACGCAGAAGGCGCTTGTACGGCGATGAGTCGTCCCACATCTCGCGGGAACGGAACTTCGGCTCCGACGCCGCCCGTACGCTAGAATGTTGGTGGACGAGGAAAAGTCCAGGTTCGTCGATGGATGCGCCTGGGAAACGGAACGCGGACGGCGTCTTGGCGAGGGGTTCGCCCTGATCCTTGAATTGTGTGCCTGACAAGCAGAGCTGCGCGCAGCGGCAGCTGAAGGAGGACTGGAGTGCTGCAGGGGTCGAAGGTGAGGCGCGAGCAAGACAAACGGCCTCGGGCCGACGCACCCATGGTCTCGTGGCGGAGGTAGTACTTCCAATGTTGTCGTTGTTGACACACGGAGGCATGGATAACGGCAATGCGCTCTTGATGTCCACGATGACGAAGCATCCGCGGCACCCACCCCTCGTCGGACTGGAAGTCTTCGACCACTCGAGTGACAGTGCCCACCGAGATCCTAAGAAGGCTGACCCGTACCACCCACCGGTCGTCGGTGAGATCGACAGACTCCAGTCAGGATGGGCTTGAGATGACTGCCCCCGAAGCGTCAGATATCACTCTCAGTGGGAACGGAGTGGACTAGCTCACCACAAATCGGCTGCGAACGACTTGTGCCCAGCGCTCGGGTGCTATGTGGAGCGCCCTTGGACAATGATCGATGCTGCGCAGCGTAGACGGCGGAAGACCGAGTACGCGTTGCTTCGTGGAGTGCAACTGAAACCCAAGAAAGACGGCGGAAGTTTTACTATTAGTTGGAGCAACGGTGCGTGATCGCAACTCATATCATACCTCACAAGGTGGTATCGCGCTCTGCGATGATAATGCGCCAACGGGAGCCGACCATGATGGAACTTGCTGGAGGGATACGAGGCTTTGACGCGAAGAGGTAAGGCGAGGGGCGAAGAACTGGCGTTACCGGCGTACAGAGGGTACATGATCGATTGGCCTTGGGGCAATACGTTCCCTGAGGAACCAACAATCGCACTGGTAAGCGACAGCAAGACACCACCTTCAGAATGGGGAGAGGCATACATCGCACAAAGTGGAGGGTAGGAGGTACTCGTGAACTCACCTTGACCATAGCACGGTCCATCAGTTCGCCAGTCTTGCGTCCCGGCTTCTCAGGCGAATAGCGCGTCCAAACGGGAGGCCGTCATTGATTCTGCAGCGACAGATTGGATGTTGTTGTTGACGGTGTTGAGACGTGCCAGAGCGTGAGTGGGGGGCTCTCGTCGGCGTTAATCGAAGATGAAGGGGACGGATGTTCAACCTAGACGAGGCTGGGTTTGGAGGGGTTTGAATGCAAGAGACACGGAAAAACTCACCGGAAGCCTGGGATGGAAATCTTCCTCAAGTCATCCCCACAAAGAGAGTCGCTTACACTGCACAAGCGGGTGGGATGGGAGATGTATACTTGGGATGAGCATGACGCTTGGGAGCAGAGGCAGAACCAATGCGATATGACGTGGGTCTGAGGCGGTCTTTGCACCCAGCCATGCGGAGCGCTGTCGAACCAGTGAGAGGGAGGATGAAGATTAAGATGAAGACTGAGGAGCACCAGAGACAGCAACGAGCCGTTGCCAGATGCTCCGGGCCGGTATTAGCGCCGTCCGGACCAACCGGCCTTCCAGTAGCCGGGCCTAGAGTCGTCATCTGCAGGGCGCTTGTGGTAAGTCGAATCTCAATCTCACTTTCAATCCTCCTCGCGCTCTATGCCTGCGATCCGTCCAGGGTCAGCCCGACGCCGCCATTTCATTCTCCCACTGTGCTCTTTATCCCACCGTTTCACTGACCTCTACGTCCATGAAGTCCTAGGCGCGTACATTCCCGTTGTCTCGGACTCGGTCACCCGAGCACGCTCATGGAGATAAATAGCAGACTTCGGCAGGCCGTATGGTCGTGCGGCGTCGCTACTAAGGCACTCTATCTTGGTTTACCTGGGCGATAGACCATGCCACATTTGATTTCTTGTCTGAAGTACGCCTTCTCTTTCGATTCAATAGCATTTCGCAACAATTGCTGACCATCGCCCTTTCCTCACAATTGTCACTTTTGCTGGCATCCCTTCGATCAGCCTCCGCGCAACGGCTTCTGGCGGAGAAACGAGGATGCGCGACGTAGGGAGATACTGAGGGCAGGCCAAGGTTCAACGCTCATTGGTGGTTGCAGTACGTCTCGCTCATCTTTGCACTCCTGCGTGTTCCCTGACGGTGGCCGTCTCCGTTCACAGAGCGCATGACCGCTCCGGAATTTCCGCACTGGTACCCTTCCCACGATAGAAATGACACCCGGGGAGGGAGACACGAGTGAAACAGAACCGGGAGAACGAGGAATGGGGGGCGTCGGACTCGAGAAGTGAAGGGTCAGATCCGTCTGCGCGAAGACATTGGCTGGGTACGTCCTACTCCCTCTTTGACGCGTGCTATTGTCTCTATATTCGGGTCAAGCTGTCCCCATTCCCTTGTCGCGCCACCCTTTTTCTGATTCTTGCGCATACAGTGCTCTTCGTATCCTGCAACACGGTTTTCGAACATCCATCCATCATGATGACATAGGTGGACGGTGTATTCTCGTCCGCTCATGTGTATACATCTTTCTTTGGTATCTCACCTCTGAAAGAGACCTCACGCCTGTAATCCCTAAACGGCCTGCGACGTTGCGTGTAGTGTCCCTGCGTACTCTTCGTCACCGTCCATGTCCCGCACTCCGGATCGGTCCCCATCCTACGCATTCATCGGCCTACTTTCCGAGCGATAGACACCCATGTGGATCGCATCTAAGGAGGCGACCCAGAGGCGAATCAGTTGATGACGACCGCGGATGGAGGTCAACCCTAGTGGAGGAGTCGCAAAAAAGCACGAGCGACGGTGGCGTACATGGGTGGGAGAGATGAAGAGCAAGCAGCGAGGTGCGTTGTATGGTTCGTGGTCTTGGATCCTCGGAACTAATCTTCGGACAGGGCGACGCCCTGGCGCACTGTATGGCACTTTCCGGAGACGGTCGACACTCCGTAGATAGCCTGGCCACAGTCGCGTTGTGTACCACAGTGTTCTATGCGTCCCCACTGCGCCCTCCGTCTCAAGCATCACGTTAACTCGCCCGCCCCCCTGTCCTAATAGAACGTTGTGCTACGCGTCCCCGCGAACACCCTGAGCTCGAGAAGCGAGAGATGTTCACCGCGTCGAGCCGGTCCATCCCACCTCTCGCTGCGGTGCAACCCGTTCTGGCGCCCCGGAAACCCTCAGGAACACGTTGCCGTCGCCCGTATATTGACGAAGTGTTTGCATGGACGGAGTGAAGACTATGAGCGGAGCACACCCTAGGGAAGCCTCCGTCAGCCGCGAGCTCGAGCCCGAGAGCGAGGTGCCGTTCTGCGCTGCTATTGGAACCAAGGCAGCGTGACGGAGAGCAGACGATCACATTCCGGCACACCCCCAAGGTTTGTGGACGCGTGGGGGAACGGTGAGCGAATTTTATCGATCATTCCATAGACTCACGTTCCTGATAGAATATTATCGGAAACAGTTACTCACCTTCAGGCCCCATGGCCGAGCCTGAGGTACACCTCGGTCTCCCTCCCTCCTGTATCTCTCCAGGGGGTCTCCCACCCCCCAGGTGGTCCCGAACGGCACGGACGACTACAAAGCCGTCTTCCAACATGACTTGTAGGTCGGGAAAAACTTCAACGCTGTCATCTATGGTTCGTCACTGCGCACTAGGCAATCCTTGTACCAATACTTATCATATCTCCACACAGGCATAAACCTGTGTTTCTACCGCCTCAAGTTTCGCCTAGTGCTCCGGGATAGTAAACGCTTCGCCGGACTCCCTTGATGTTTTGCTAATCTTCAGAGATGCGGCAGTAAAATTTTACCCGCCGTCGACGGAGGCCCTGCCTCCGTCATGAATTCCAAACGACTACGGCAGCCTCAACACAAATTGGCGCACATAGAAAAAGTACGTTGCATGATGTTTGATCTGTGTCATCACAATAGAAACAGCGGAAACATGTAAACAATGACCATCGCTCCGTCCTAATTTTTCTCAGTACCGATCGAGTACCTATTAGCCATTACAGAGACCCGTTTTGACGCATTTTAGAGTTGCTCCGACGTGCTGCGCAGTGCTCGTGGCGTTCGAAATCCATGAACGTGGTGATGTGGCTTCTTGTCCTACTTCTCAAACGCTCATGCCATCTGTTTCGCTGTGACAGACCTTACGACCAAACGCTTCAACGACCAACGAGAAGTGGCAGATGAGCCAACCCATGGGCCGACCAGAACGCATGATTGCGTGTGCTTGCTAACTCCCAGGACACCAACATGCGTCTGCGCAAACAGCAACGCTTCTCCGCATCGCACGCGGCCTCCTTCTAATGTCAAGCTCGGATCGGAGCGCTTGCCCCATATACTCACCGGTGACGAGTGGGTGCGGGGCCGCATTTTACGGTGGACCGGAGGAGCCGATGCGCCGAGATAACGACCCTTGAGCTTCTGCATGACTAATTTTTCAAGAAGAAAATGTCGCGCAGTCTTGTTTTGTAGCCAACCTCGTAAGTCCGTTCTTATAGGAGAGATGATCTCATCCCAAACGGTCTGCGAGCGATGCTGACAACTCAACAGCGGCGGCAGCGGGGTTGTATGATACACCTTTGAATGCATCTACACAAGCCCAGTTGTGGGACGCCCCAATGGCACCGTGCGCCCCAGAAGTCATCGTCCCGCGTTGCCTCATGTCCTGCCTCATCCAGTTCGGTGGCCGTGTTAGCCCCGGCAAAGGACCGGCAGTGCGTTTCGCTGTTTCTGCGGTGTCCATACTTCCCGTCCCTTATTCTACCTCTGTCCGGTGCGGCTATTAATTGTAAAAACTCCTGCGCAGCTGCTCCACACGCCATGTCAGAATCCGAGGGCCGCCACGGACGTGTATCCACTTCGGGCTGCAACTCAGCCGGTGCGCCGCCTTCAAGGCGCCATTCTATTGCGCTGCATAGGAACTCCTCACCAGCAATGCGCGGCTGTGCTGTACGCCTGCAGGCTCGAGGCGCCTGCGGTCTCACAAAGGAAGGAACGACGGCCACTCGGAGCTTCGCCGGGCGAAGCCTATTCTTGGTGCCCCATACTCAGACCCCCGCCCCATGTAATCCGCCGCAGAGATCGGAGTCATTTGAAGGAGCTTCTGCGGGGTCCGCCGCGCCGCCGCCTACCACCACGTTTGCGCACGGGTGGGTCGGCCGAATAGGCGCCAAAGTCCGCTCTGGACGAATTGGGAAGATCGGGCAAAAAATGGGACCAGCGGCGGCCCGGCAATTGCCAGTCGCGCGCATCATCGTCTCTTCTCGCACCTTGAAGGACCACTCCTCGGATCCTTCCTCCGCGGCCTCCTCAGGCGCGCATCTCTGGAAACCGGCGCCGTCGCCAGGCGCGGCTTCCCTGCTCTGGCGACGCTCTCGCACGATCGTCGGCGTCGTTGTCGGAGGGATGCCTTGCTGGCACGTTCCAGCCGGCATGGGATGTGACAAACGACCGATGGGGACTCTGCAGCTGGAACCTTGCGCGTCGGGAAGCACGAAGTAGGGAAGGGAGACATGTGGTACGTTCTCCAGATCGATATACTTCATGACTTCTGGAAGGTCGTTCTCCGCCCGCCGTCAAAGGTAGCACCTTCTTGCGAGTATATTCTCGTCATGAAACCCTGCTCATTTCGAACGACCATCTCGCATGACAACAGAGTTGGATACAAGGTACAAGCCACTCGTCTGATGGTTCCAGACGTACTCAGTCGATCGTTTCAACAGGATACCTATCGGAAGCTAGCACTTCACTATCCGAACGCCTGACAGTGATCTTCCAGGACGTTTTCCGCGATCCACGATTCGCAGATTCAAGGCTATTTATGAGGGAACAAGTTTTACCCCCAACCATTGCTTCGTCATGGGGCCTTCGCCGTCTTCAAAGGCGATGCATACTAGGTTCGTTCGCCAACAGTTCTATCCATTTTTCACGCGAACCCTGATTGCCTCTGCACTCGTTTCCTATGCTTTGTTATCACTGTCTGTTTTCTCCCGCGACTATCGGATGCATACTGAATCTTCTCTTCAAATCTCCTTCTGTCAGTCGTCATTATTGTGGGCCGGGGGCACCTCGCATTCTCTACGTGGGCGGAGGCCGGAGACTGTGCGCTCCAGGCCGAGAGCGTCGGTGTGCTTACGCCGCTTGGATCTCCAACGCTGCTTAGTCCCCCGTATTGCAGCTTCCTTCAGACGAGTACGATCTGCTCTGCTTGCGAGGCGGGGGCGTCATGGTCGCTTCCATGCTCTGCACTTCGCAAGAGCCCGTGACTAGAGAAGGGAATGCGATCTCAACGCACTCCGACCCGTTGGGAAACGCCGAGGGTCCTCCGGACAGGCTGGGAAACCGTAGACAGTATTGGGACGACCCTGGGAAGCGGCGAGTTCTTTAGTCCCCGGGGCGTCAGATGGGCGGCCTCGGAGGCAGACCACCCGCTCTTCCCCCCGCAGCTGCCGGGCCGTGGGGCGGGGCAGCTCCGGCCTCGGGGGACGAGGGCACGCCATCCCCATCATCGCCCATCACCCCTTCTGCAAGGGCAGCGCGGCTTGTCCGGCCAGAACCGAACGAGTCCCATCTCGCATCGCGCCTTCTCCTAGTAGGGCACTGGTGCACCGGTCTGTTGGCGAGAGCAGGTGCGGTGTGTGAGATCTCGCTCTCTGGGGGACCTCATGGTGGGTCTGCCCGATTGCAGACACGGAGTAAAGCAGACGCCTACGGGTATCGCCTCCCTCGGATCCTGACTGAAAGCTCCATCTCTCGCCAGACACCTGTTCTTCGGGCCTGATTTATCTTTCCAAGGTCGTGCACTCCTTCTAGAAGCACACACTGCATCATCTGCAAGCTGTACGACGCTTCGCGATAGGTGTTCGCCAGGTCATCTCGTGTGCGTGCTCGCCGCCCATGATTCTCGTCGTGTGGCTGAGCATCTAACAATCGCGGCTCAATCTAGTGCACGGCCAGTCGTAATTCTCGGGGTTCTGTGCTTCTGGGACCGTGACGAGCTCACGGATAAGTCTGATATCGGCGGTCCACGAGGTCAGCGTTCCTCCGCTCTCACTCGGGCTCTCCTGCTAATCTTCCATCTTTCCGTCGCGAATCTTGTTCCTTTAGAGCTCGAGGCCAGCTGTAGCGTTTCCGGGGCGTCTTTAATGCGGCCACGCAGCATCCGGTCATGAATTCTCCCCCGTTTCGAGGACAAGAGCATGGGCGCCGCAGAGTGCATCGCCGGTGGGCGTCGAACTGCGCGGGATTCCCACCGCGCCTCTCTTGACGCTGGATCGCAAAATGGGAAGGCCTCCCGGCCCTGCTTCTCACCATCAAGAGATCCACAGAGGTGATTGTTGGGACACTGGTCGACTGGAGGTATATAACCGCTTGTGCACTCCGAGCTGGTCAGGCCTCCCCTCCGTCGTCTTCTCGTCCGCTCCCGCGCCCCACCTCCCTTCGCACTCTGACGCCCCTCGAGTCACTATGTCTTCCCCTCAGGACCGCCCCACCCTCCCCAGCGTCCGCGAAATGCTCCCAGGTACGTCTCAACATCCCCACTCGGCTACCACCGGTGTTCTAAACAGGCGATTCTCTAAACCAGACCACCAATTTGAGCTTGCGAGGCAGGGTTCGTCAGACATTCTGCAGGGCGGCCCCGCCTGTCGAGTCCCGCCTCCGTTGAGGGTGCGTGCCACACTCTGAGGCAGACCGACGGCGCCCACTAACCCGTTTCGTGCAGGTTCCGCCCGCCTTAAGCCGCGGCGGCACTCGGCACTCACGCTCCATGTCTTCACCGCAAGCAGCCCACCCCCTCTCCCCTCCCCCCTTGACAGCCGCATGCTCGCTCGGGCCACAATACCGCGCGTCCCCCGCAGGTTCGAGCGAGGCCCCTCGCGTGAGGACCTCGATTTCCCAGTCGCCGCGTCAAGAGTCTTCCTCTCTCGTCGCCGGCGATGTCTTTCAACCTCACCTCCGAGACATCACCTCACACCCCTTCCCGTACGACTCCACGGGCACCCGCGGGACCCCATCGCAGCGCGCGCTCCGCGGCTACTCATTCTACATCGTGCCCGCCGACGAATGCCCCCCCGGCGACGACCGCAGGCACGGATGCGGTATCTGCCATCGCCGCTTCAACCGACCCAGCAGCCTGTTGATTCACATGAACTCCCACACGGGTGCGCAGCGTGAGTGGCAATATACGCCTTATTTTTGATGGCAGCCCCGAGGTCTGACGTACGCCGCCCGCCAGCGTTCGAATGCCCGTTCCCGGGCTGCACCCGCCGCTTCAGCGTGAACTCGAACATGCGCCGGCACTACCGCAACCATCGCGAGGGCGCGCTCGCCGGCTCTGCCGCCCAGACCAACCCCTCCCCGCGCATGCAGTACCGCAACCCGTACCCGCCCCCGCCGTACCACGCGCCAAGCGCGTCGCCCTCCGCCTCCTCCGCGTACTCGTCCTTCACCGAGGGCAGCGACGACCACCCCGACACCGTCACGGCCCACCTCGACGTTCCGCGGAGCCCGACGCTGTCGTGCGCGTCGCCCCCCAGCCGCACGCGCTCGCACTCGGACACGCACCCCGCGCTTCGCGTCGCGCCGGCCGTCGAACCGCGCCGCCGCTCGTGCACGGTGCCCGGGTGCGACTGCGACGAGACCCCGGGCACGCTGCGCCCGGCAGCGTTCCATGAGGGTTCGGCGTCGATTACTGGGTTCGCGCGGCGGCGTTGAGTGCGCGCGCGACGCAGCGTGCATGAGCTCGGCCGCACAACGGACGCGGGCCTCATGTGTGTTCTGCGCTGGCACGCGCGAAACGAAGAAGAGAAGAAGAAGCCCCTCTTGCCACGGCGTGTTCTGATAGACGCTCCCTTTCCCTTCGCGACTTTCCCTTCTTTCCCGCTGCTCCCGCCCCCTTGAACTCGTGTGGATCGGCGTGCGAGCACTCTTTTCCTTCTTGGCCGCGCGCTCCTCGTTTCTTCGTGCTGGGATACACACGATGCTCCTCACGCTGTTATGCTCTGCCACCTTGCTCTAAGTTATCGCCTGCTCTCTACGCACGTCTTTATTCGCTGATACTTCTCTTTCTCCCTCCTTTCGATGGACTCTGGTCGTCTTTGGCTTTCGTGTCTTCCGCCCCCGATGTATTCACTATTATGGATCCCTGTGTATGACTATCTCTCCTCGCAAAGCAAACGATTTCTTCATGAAGTGTGCCTCGTATAATATTACGTCGCCACTTCCACCCGGAGCGCTCTGAGGTCCCGAGGTACATACGCATCCATCACCCCGCGCATCCTACAGTCGGTTTCCTCGGTGGCCGCAGCGCCCCCGCCGCCGAGGGCTGTGTGCGCTCGGCCTCTTTACATCGCGAGAGAAATCGAGATGGATGCCGCGCTCCGCTCGCCTTCATCCCGCTATGGCTCACGATGCTCCGAGGGCCCGTCTCGTGCGCGCGCGACAGAACCCTAATACACACCACGGCACTACGCGATCGCGAGCGTGCTATCTCGCCTGCGCGCCAGTGCGAATCCGCAATCCGTACTCCGTCTGTGGCTTTGTGTGCCGTGCGGCCGTGCGGTGGTCGATTGCGGGCTCGCGCCGCGCCCGCAGGGTGGATATGGGTGGATGTGGATTCTCGTCGGATTGGCCTTCTGTGGTCGCGGGTGGTGCGTGTGGCTCTCTCTCTCTCTCTCTCTCTCTCCGCGTCCTGGCTCGCCCCCACATGGGCAGAGCCCGGGCACGGAGCGGCGCCGGGCCCATCGACTTCAGGGGTTCCGTGGGCGGGCGTGGGCGGGCGGCGTGGGTGCGCCCAGGCGCGCACGTGAGCGAAGTGACGTCGGAATGACAGCGTTTTGCCCCGGTCGGCGCGCCGGGTCCGTGGGGACTTCGTCGAGAGCATCGCGCGCAAAGATCCTTCAGAGGCCGCTGGATCTCGCGCGCGCGCCGCGGGGGTTTGCAGCCGCGGGCGCCGGGGACAATGTTCATCCTGCGCCCCGGGCGGCGAACACCGTTAGCGTGGGCGCGGATGATCACGAACCCAAGTACGAGGGCGCGCGCAGACGGAGATGCCATGCTCGCTTCGCGCGAGGGCGAACGCGGGGCCCGCCATTGGGCTCTCAGTTCTGGAATAAGCGAGCAGGCCGTGCGCCGGGCGCGGCGGGGCATCTGAGCATGCAGGGATCGCTGTCTGATTCCCCAGGCCATGGGGTATTTGCAATGACCTTCACAACGATTCCGCACCGCTTTGACCGCGGGCGAGGCAAACAGGCAGCCTATACACCCTGCGCCTCAAAGCGATGGAACGGAGGCCGGGGGTGATCAATCGAATTCATCATCGCCTGTAGATAATCGCGCACTTCGGGCAGTTCGGCCCCAAATGTACGCTCCGGGGGTCGCGGTGTTGTGTTTTTTTGATACTGTCCTTTCAGGCAGTGCGTACAAGGTTGATATCACGGATGGATGTATTAACAGCACGTCGGAGCTTAGTCCGTAAAAAGCGTGGGAAGGCTCGCTGGAGGAGACTCACGTGGGGCGTTCCGCGCCGAGACCATCACAGTGACTGTCGCGCAACGTAAAGCAACTTACGAATTTGGCAGATGGTCCTTCGCTGCAAACCATTCCGGTGCCATTTCGTGGCAGAGATGTCCCCTTTGTCAGGGACTGCGAGCGAGGGATGTATCAGTGACGAGAAGCTGACGCGCCGTCATTGCGTATCCGCGTCGTAAAGCATGGAAACATCTGTCGAATGAAATCCATTGTCCTTACTAGGGTAGATCAGTATCGAGGAGCCAATTTAGTGCCAGTCGGAATGGGCGACTTGGAAAACATAAACCAAGTCAACATCTGATATACTCACCGCAATGATCAGAAGGCTCACCGCACCGGGATATTCAGTAAATCGAAGATATCTATCCACCGCCGCCGCCGAAGAGCGCTCCATAATCCGATCGCCTGCCGCTCGACATTGCCCCACCCACCGCGTTCCACATGGAACGACCGACGACGAGCAGCAAACACTAAACTTGATATGTTGTAGCGCATGTCTACCGAGCTTCTGTGACAGATGAAGGATGCACGGCGTCGCTCGCCGAGGGCCCCAGATCCTCGCGCCCCAGCACCATCGCCTCAGGCCTCTTCGAAGCAACTCACGGCCCTGTGTTCCACCGACCGCACGGGGCTGCTGGGGAGACAGCCGCCGCGCGCGCCCTCGACTGCAGAGTATGCGGGTCACCGTCGCCATGCAAGAAATAAGCACCGTAACGCGCGCACCCGAGCCCGAGACTGCTCTCGCAGCACGCGGGGAACGTAGGCCGCGTGGTGGTTGGCAGAAAACGGAGCGCGAGGCGTCAATCAGTCCCAGTGAGAACGTACAGGTTTGAGAAGGTTTCAGAGGGTTTTAGACGGGTTCAGAGGGTTTCGGACGGTTTCGATTGCATAAACGCCCGTGGAAGACACGCTATTAATAGACCCTTTCGACAATGATGTGTCGAACAGTTGCAATGCTGCAACTTCAAATGCCCAATTTCGACGATAATTTCAACACAACAGACATTGTGGCACTCCATTCACATGTGCGGGGTAGCATGACAGCAATTGTCGGTTTGCAATTTCTTCTCCACTCCACCCCGACAGTTTGCCGACAGTGGACACACCAGCCCCGTGGGAGGACCACGTGATTAGATGCGACGCCCTTTTCGCGTCGTGCCATGGGCACTCGGGAGCTCTTTGCATCTTGACTTCTCCGTCCACCTTTACCAGCTTCCCCCCAGTACTATCCCTTTCCGCAACTTCCCATGCTGGCCCGTCCCAGAACTCGACAGACCTGCCTATCAACCAGCCAAAGCCATCTCTTTTGAAGTGATACGGTCTCCTGCGCTGGGTTGTAAGTGTTTTCACTGCATATATTCAGCATTCCCCCACCTGCCTGTATGCGCCTCTGCTGGACGACCTATTGCTAGCCACTGGACCTTGCAACGTCGCGAACGCGAAAACCCAGCGCATAGACATCTTCAAGGTGTAGCGCACACACCGGTTCGGCCGCAAGTCCCGCATCAATGACGTCGTGTTCGACAAGGGCTCGATGGCGACCAGTGCGCCCGCGCCCGCGCCCGCTGCTCTGTGCGCTCACCTGGCTGACTGATACGGCCGCCGCAGGCGGGACGCACTGCTCGATCGAGTGGGATGGAGACCACTGCGCGCGCCGGGCCTCGGTCAAAGTCACCGACTTTCAGATGAACAGGACGTTCGCAAGTATCCCGATTTCGCTGCGCGGTGCCGCGTCGCTCGCTGACAATGCCCTCCAGAACAATGGAAAAGGGATTGAGAAGAACACCACGATGCTCCTCTACGATGGGAAGGGAGTGGGCGCTCCTGGAGGAGTGCGTGAGCCAGGTGTGTATCCTCCCCTTCTTCCTCATCGCTGGTGTGACACGCGAGCTGACCGGGACCCCACACATACGGTTGGGCGGTGCATCCACGCGCTCCTCATGTCTTCCCTGAGCAAGCGCATTTCGCTCACCCGCGCGCTGGGCTTTATGTTCCACATATCCTTCTTTTGAACATTGTGCTGATGTCCTTACACAGGGCTTCTCGACGATGGCGCCGACGTCGTCGGATAGTCGGGCTTGACCTGCGCTCCCGGAAACACGCACATGCGACGGACAAATGAGATCGTCCCAAGCCAGCCCACAATTACCCGCCGAGAGGATGGTGTACCGCCAGAGGGGCGGTTGTGAAAGGTGCGGAAGGGTGGTGCTTGACATGCTGTCGGGCGGACGTGGGCACGCGGGGTCGGCGAGTGGACACAGGCGGACGACGTGGGCACAGAGTAGCCCTATGTTTTGGAGTGTACCATATATAGTAATTCAATGTGATATTATTCCGAACCGCACAAAACTGCCCCAAACCGTCCCCCAAACCGTCCGAAACCGTCCGAAACCCCCACGAAACCGTACGAAACCGTATGAAACTTTTTGAACAGTTTCATACGGTTTCTTTTACCGATATGACGGTTTCAAGCGGTTTCTCAGGGTTCCAGGCGGTTTCGCCCAAACGAAACCGCCTGAAACCCTCTGAAACCTGTAAGTTCTCACTGGGAATCAGTCATAACCCAGGAAGATGTGGCGGTGCGGCTACATCATATTCTAACGTTCGGGGGAGGCAGGAGCGTTGGCGAGTTCAGCCCGGCACTCTGAGCTGAGAAATTGGCAATTGGGGGAGACACCGTCGGGACGCAGGGAAGCACGTATTGCGGGCTTCTTACTCCGCAGTGTGGGTGTCTGACGCTCGCAAGTCCGATGATGGAGGCGGCGCGAAGGAGTGTATGTGCTGCCGTCCGCGCTCCCATGATGTCTGTGGATAAACTGCTCATACGATGGTCCATGCGTTGTGGCCCGGGTAACTAGACTCACGTCGCGGTTTGTATACCGATGCAGGCAGATGCGCCGAAAAGGACAGCCGAAGTGCTTGGTGAAAACCTCAAGAACCGGCGTTCGTGCCACAGAAGCGTTGAAGAACATACGTTCACCCGAAGTAGCGCGTTTATGCCGGGACCTTCCGCTCACCTCCGCCACCTTTTGCGCGCATCCGGAGGTCTATGCACCGAGCCACTCGCGCATCTGGCAATGTAGAACGTCGCCGCTCCATCTGATAATCAGCACTTTCGTCAGTTCGAGCACAAAGCAAAGTTGCTGCGCCCACCAGATGCGCAATGTGACTCGCTTTGCTGTGCGGCCAGATCACGGTCGATGGATGGACCGTTACAAGTTGTGCCTGAGTACCGGGTCCTCTCCCGCGTGCATTTGAACAATGCCCTCTCGCGCATCATGTTTTCTGTTATTGCACTGCAGAAGACTTCGTTGTTCATCAACCTGCTCGGCGAGGCCGCGGGTGACAGTTCCTCGATGCTGCTCCCAGCCGGCGTGCCCCCCAGCAGCAGTCCTTGACAATCGTGTCCTGCGCCCTGCTATCGTCCGGACTATGGATCATGAGCGAGCCGTAATCGGGAGGAACAGACCCGAACTTCCCACCTGTCTCCGCCCCCGGTCTCTCTTGCTCTCTCTCCTGTTGACGGGCGCAACCATCTCCGCACTTCCCCGTCGCGCCATCGGCGGGCTCGCCGAGACACACATCCCCGAAGCACTCGTCGCGAAGCTCAGAAGGCCCACGTGAACCCCCACGCTCCCCATCGAAGCCCGCGCGGCCCGCGCCACCCCGGCAGCGGCCCAGCACTCAAACGCCGCGAGCTGCGAGGCCGGCTTCCCCAGTCCGAAGCCTCGGCCTCGCCTTCTCGCGAGCCCACTCGGGGCTCGAGGCCCGGAGCTCGGGGCTTCCTTCCCCTCTGCGACCGGGGGCGCTAGTCCACTGACGTCCATCATTGAGTGCACCCAGCCTCGAGGTGAGGCGGGGGGAGGCGCAGTGCAGCGCCGGGAGTGGTGACTCGACCGCGCAGTCGATGCGAGCACCGGAGCCGACGCGTGCGGCGGAGTGGACGGTCAATGGGAGCGCCGTGTGTGCGGGTGTGCCCCCGACCGCTTGCCTGCTGCGCAGTCGGCTCGGCCGGAATGATCCTCGCTGGTTAAGCCCACCCGCTCGGCGCCCCCGCTGCAGGTACCGCGCGCGTCCCCTTGCGCCCGACGTCGGCGTGGGCGCAGCGTCTTCGGCGAGGGGGGAAGGTACGAGGACGAGGAGAACCGCCGTCGGCGCTCAGCGCAAACAGGCCTCGGGGAAGTCGGTGGAGATGGGCACACCGATGGAGAAAGCGGCTACTTGAGATTCGCGCCGAGCGCCGCCGCTCGTCTCTGGCTGGAGCTGGTTCGCGGCGCCAGTACGTCCGCAATCGCAACCGTTCGTGCGCCGCGTCCTGGATTGGATTGATTACAGACGAACCGGTGTCTGCACGTATGCCGTCAGCATGCGAGTGGCACAGGGACCAGGGGCACAAGTCCGACGCAGACCGGGCAAGCGGTGACATGTCTTCGGGCAGGGCGGAGTCGATCAGTGACAGTACTGCCCGCAGAACCACGGAATATGTGGAAGTCGTGCGGTAAGGATCCACATGGGCGTATCATTTTCACTAAGGAACACAATTTTATGACAACCGTTGACTGCACGGACCATAGCGCCTCCTGCCCAAAACCCTTCAGCGCTCGGCAGTATTTGTGCAGAAAACAAAGGACGGCTCCTCTCAACGATCAGGTCGTGCGCAGTGTCGCGAGTACACTTTCCACGCATCCCGCCCGCCCACTCGAAACACTGCGAGCCGCACTCGCCGCGCTGACGCGCGCGCACCTCGCGTGCCTTGTGAACGAAGCGTCCAAAGGCCCACCCCCGCCTCCCGCCTCGATCCCTTCTCCCGCCCCGACGGCCCATAGTGAGCCCGAATGCCACGCGCGACGTGCATAATTGCGGACGTCACGCGGCGCACGCGCACGCGAGACGAAGGAACGGCGCGGGCAAGGCGGACGCGACGTTCGCGCGCGCGACGTGCGGCCGTCGCGCCCCGCGCCCATCGCCACGCGACCCGCCGGCCTCGGCCCGCGCGACAGCGACAGCGTGGCCGTGGGCACACCACGTCGTCATCATCCCCAGCAAATACGTACGGGCGCGGGGGCGGACCCCCGCGCGCGAGGGGCACCCGCCTGCGCATTTCCCAGCCCGGGATCACATCGGTGCACGCCCAGGGCTTTCGGCGCAATACGGCCGGATGCGCGGACGCAGTCGAGTGCGCGCGCGCGCGCTGCGTCCATCTCCGCGGTGCAGGATCGGATATCGAGGGATGGCTTCCGCCCGCACTCTGCCCGCGCTCGTCCGCCCACTTGGGCAGGGCACTGAATGTGTTGCCAGCGTTGGCGGCCGAGGCGCGCGGGGAGGCGCGCGAAGCGGTTTGATGTTCACGAGGAGCGAGCCCCCCGCGCAGCCCAGCGAGCCTGATCGTGCCCTGCCGAACGCCCGTGTCGAGGTCTAAGCGGAAAGCGAAGAACGTTCGGTGGATGAAGCCCTTTCCCGCGAAGCAGCGGGCTCGGATGGACACCCTGGCAGACAGGCGACGCCAGGGCGCGCGGGTCGACGCGCCCTGCCACCCCCTGCCAACTCGCGGCCGCGGCCGCGATCCCGCTCGCCGCCCGGAGCCGCCCGCGAAGACGAAACGAAGATTGCGCTGGGGGTCGAGGACCCTGCCGCCGTACGCACCGATGCGTGCAATGGCTGTCGCAAATTTTCGCGTCTTCGTCCGACCGGACGTCTGGTCGCTACGGACGGCATCATCGAGGTGCTGCCCCGCCGCGAGGCCAGAGGAAAACGAATGGAGTTATCAGTTTCATCTCTATGATCGCCTGCGGTCCCAGGAGGTCTGGATAGAAGGCCGCTGGTAGTGCAGCCGACGGCCTAGCATGGGGCAGCGGTGCTGGACGAGCGAATGGGTGACTGCTGAAAGCTTGGTGCGTCCGATCGCCCGGATGTCGCCGTGTGCTGGTGGGTTGCTGGGTGGAAAGAGAGAGCGATCTTCAGTAAACGAATAGATAGGACTAAAACGCGCCCGCTCGAGATACTGTGGACGTGCGCAGAGCGCATGTGCGGCACCGGAAATACCGATGCGACGGACTGGCGGCCCGCGAGGGTGAAGCTTTGAAGGACGGAATGAAAGCCTTGTTCGCCTCCGCGATAACTATGCTTGCAAGCAGTCAGGCAACTATCCGGTGTCCCGTCCTCAGGTCAATGCCACCACAGCCGGGGACAGCTAATGTACATAGCCGAAGCACAAGCCACCGTCTGAGACGATGCAGAGATACTGTCCACACTGACATGGCCACATCGATCCTCATCGCGTTGCCGGCAGGCACCCGGATCGCCATCCCGGCGCATACCGCGATCTCAATAGCACTGAAAGCAATGGCCTGTACACCGTGAGCACATGGAATTCGGCGTGTCGGAAGCAGTACAGCCCCGCTACATTTGGGAATGGACAGCCCATCATGCGATATACGCATCATCGTAGTGAGGAAATAGTACAGCACTAATTGCTCACCTGAGTTTCCACATCGAGTCGAGCAGCGCCACGGGAGGCGCCGTGCGTGAACATGTGATCATTCGCCTGCCAGAGACGACAGGAGCCGAGAGGCGGGCAATTCGTGGTGACATGTTGACGTGGAGCGGCGGGGCGCTGTCAAGCCAGGAGACAATGATGTACAGGGAATCCCGCTGCGTTAATGAACAATCACTTTAACGACGCGAGTAGGGCCGGAACGTACGGCATAGTGAGTAAGTATATGTTCTGACAATGTGGCGTAGTCGTGGAAGTGATATGGGCAAACGAGGCCGAGTGGGAGTAGACGTGCAGTGGCGTGGCCTACGACGTAATCAGCTCCTCTGTCTCTCCCGATAACGAGATCGGCCACATAGCCGACGATGCACCGTAACCACCACCATCACAGACGCGTTCATGCGGTCGTTGAGAGCTATGTCTACGATATGCGCTATGTAAACCCTGCTCAGCCGGACAAAACATACGTGGAGCTTACTGACCCGGACCAAAATAGCAACAAGATAACGTGTGCACGGCAGGAGACGTCTCGAGCGCCCATGGGTCGTCAATAGATCGCCTTCCAGGCATGGTAGTGCA